CACAAGTCCACTGACTGACAGGACAACAATGGACACAAGTCCACTGACTGACAGGACAACAATGGACACAAGTCCACTGACTGACAGGACAAGAATGGACACAAGTCCACTGTCTGACAGGACAACAATGGACACAAGTCCAATGTCTGACAGGACAACAATGGACACAAGTCCACTGACTGACAGGACAAGAATGGACACAAGTTCACTGACTGACAGGACAACAATGGACACAAGTCCACTGACTGACAGGACAACAATGGACACAAGTCCACTGACTGACAGGACAAGAATAGACAAGTCCACTGTCTGACAGGACAACAATGGACACAAGTCCACTGACTGACAGGACAACAATGGACACAAGTCCACTGACTGACAGGTCAACAATGGACACAAGTCCACTGACTGACAGGACAACAATGGACACAAGTCCACTGTCTAACAGGACAACAATGGACACAAGTCCACTTTCTGACAGTACAAGAATGGACAGAAGTCCACTGTTTGACAGGACAACAATGGACACAAGTCCACTTTCTGACAGTACAAGAATGGACAGAAGTCCACTGTTTGACAGGACAAGAATGGACAGAAGTCCTCTGTCTAACAGGACAAGAATGGACAAAAGTCCACTGTTTGACAGGACAACAATGGACACAAGTCCATTTTCTGACAGTACAAGAATGGACACAAGTCCACTGTTTGACAGGACAACAATGGACACAAGTCCACTGTCTAACAGGACAACAATGGACACAAGTCCACTTTCTGACAGGACAACAATGGACACAAGTCCACTGTTTGACAGGACAAGAATGGATACAAGTCCACTTTCTGACAGGACAACAATGGACAGAAGTCCACTGTTTGACAGGACAAGAATGGACACAAGTTCACTGTTTGACAGGACAAGAATGGACACAAGTCCACTGTTTGACAGGACAAGAATGGACACAAGTCCACTGTCTACGTGGAAGAAGAAGAATGGACACAGATTGCAACAAAATGATGTGCATGGCTACAAATCCAGTTTTCTAAGTAGTGGACACAGAAAAAAGTGGTAGTTTTTAAACCTCTGAGCTCACGGGTTATACCTTTAGGATCAGCTGGTCTCCAACAGTCACAGAGTCCAGTGAGATACTGGCTCTGGTTTCTTAGCTGCGGTCTTATATAGCAGGTGTGCTAACTGTAGTGAATACTAAAAACCGAGCTTTGTGAGGTCACTCCAGGATCTTCAGCACACAAATGAGAAAATAATTGTGTGTCCTGTGTGGTTTTCACAGCTGCTAACAGGTGCAGTTAAAAACAGATTGGTTCCTGATGGATCTGCTCGAGGGTCTTTAATTCTTGATTTAGTCTGGAACTTTTCATTTGGAGCAGATGATTGAGGCTCATGGTTTTTTGTGAGTGTATTCTTACCAAATGTCCTCCTCATGTTTCTGCAGGCTAATTTGCTTATATTTTGTGAACCCATCCTAAATACAGCTGTTGGAACCCGTTCAGCCTGTTAATTAGCCATTAACACAAATTGTGAACTGTTATTTTACTTGCTTTTTGAACTCTTAATTTGAGACTAATTTGTAGTTCATTGCACGAACGTTATTAGCTTTTAATCCAAGGCTGGGATGTAGCCTCCCTCACTAATAGGCGCTTGTTCTGCCTTTATAAACATTCCATTTTTTATCCTGAACACCTAGTTATCAGACGCTTGGCTCAGGGTTGGGATGGTTGTGCAGAGAGGAGGAGGCACCTCACAGCTGTTCAACAGCTGTTTCCATTCTCTGATGACCTGTGAGTAATCTGAGGCACGTTTGATTTTAGTTTACCCTTCCCTGGAGTCTGAAGAGGACAATCCTGTTTTCAAATCAAGATCAAAAAAACGGAAAAGCAGTGACGACACCCCCTACAGCCCCACAGGTAAGTGCTGTGCTGCTGAACACAGTTCAGATTTTATGAACAAACCTTCAAACAGTTCTTGTGAATGTCATTACAGCTCGTGTTGGACCTTCAGTTCCTCGACAGGAGAGGCCGGCACGAGACGGGGCCCGCGTGGCCTCCATAGAAACAGGCCTAGCTGCTGCAGCAGCAAAACTTTCTCACCAGGTGTGTCCACCTCATATATCATTAATGTAGCGATAGGCTAACCTAAAGGGTAGACCAGGGCTATTCAACTAAATTGCTCCAGGGGCCACAGTTAGGTCAACAGCTGAGGGGCCGAACATCCAGCAATTAAATTCATTATGTAAATAAACCAAGTATTACAAAGATCTATTACCTTTGACTTAGTTTATTTTGCTGCATTTAATCATAAATTCAACATACAGAACCCTATAAAAGTAGTGATAAATAAACAATATCAAAAACAAAAAGAGCCTATTATTCCTCATGTTTAACACAAATATTATTTTGACATCTCTGACTTGCCACATTTTTAAACCAATTTTATTCTCATTTTCGTAGCTTTATCTTCAGCTGCTTGTAGTTTTAACTGTCTTGGATGTTCATATAAATGTTTTTACCAGCTTGTAGCCAAGATTCTGATGTTACTGTAGATAAACACGTCTATGTTTAACTAACAGAACTTAGAGTAATTAAAGTAGAAACCAAGGGTTTGGGCTGAAGAGATGAAGGAACTAACTGGCTGAACTTTGGTCACTCATGGGCTGCCAGTTGAATAGCCCTGGGGTAGACTGTTAGGTCCTCATATAGCTGTTTGTGGCCAAAAACAAATGATTTATTTATTTACCTTTATTTGACCCAACTAATCCCATCGATATCACAGATGTCTTATACAATGAGGCCTGGGCCTGAAGGCAGACTAACATGTGTTTTTATCCACAAAGACCCTGGCCCAGTCTGGGAATTGAACCCACAACCTTCTTACTGTGAGGCAACAGTGCTCACCACTGAGTCAATTATGCTGGTTAAATTGGAAATTAAAATAAATTTAGGATCACTTAAGCCTAAAACAAGGAGTTTCTAATAACCAATCTTATTTTGTTAATTTTTGACGCTCTTAGTTTGAAGTTTAGCTGCTAAAGATGCTACGTGCTACACACACTGCGACATGGCATAACAATAGAAGTTTAATACTTGTGATTTTTTTTAGTGGACTCATAATTAGTGGAAGCTAATCTCTTTGCTAAAGATTATCAAAGTTAGGGAAACTGCGAATCCGCTAAGTAAGAAGCTAGTTCCACTATTAGCTGATTAGCGGAACAGTGCTCGCCACTGCTAATAACCTTTGACAACGTTTTAACCTAATCTGTACAACCAGCTGTGGGCTGATGTTATGAACCTACAGGAACAATGTCTTGAAACTATTTATTTATTGAATGAGCTGCATTTCTGCACCATGTAGCAGTAGCCTGTGTATCCAGTAATCTAATTAAAACAGCAATAAAACTAAAAAGCAGTGTAATTTTATTTGTTTACTTAAAAAATTGTATTAAATATGAATTTTTTATTAAATCTGGTTGTTGCTTGTCAGCAGTCTTAAAATTTAGGCTGTCTGAAAGTTGAGTGGGCATATTTTTTATATTTTATTCTAATTTTATTATTAGATTATTTTATATGTTTCTGTAAGTGTGGATGAATTTATTGTTTTAGTCATTCAGCAGTAAGCAGCAGTTTTCTACACTTTAAAAAATAAAGCACATGTTAACCGTTTTTCCTGTAATGTACCGTATTTATTCAAGTATAATACGTAAAATTAAATCCATAAAATCATCCATAAAGTTGGGGGGTAGTACTATACTCAGATAAATATTTTTACTTCTGTATTGTAACTGAAATATCGGCTTCATTCACAAAATGCCTGAGTCTGGAAATGAGACCACGATGTAAAAAGCGGTTGAAGCAAGCTTACCTGTGACACTCCTTCATGCCTCAGAGCGAGATAGTAACAGATCCCGGCAGGCGACATGATGTGAAAAAAAAAAAAGAAAAAAGGGCAGTCCTGCAGCTCAGTAATGATAACGAAATAATGACATTAGCGTGTGACCGGGTCGCTGCTGGAACAACAACAAACACATGTCCATCTGTAATGGCTGCCGTCTACCAGTGTTCTGAAAAAGTTTGTATCCCTGAAAAAAAGTTTCCCCACCAGAGGGGGCGCTCGCGAGTAGAAAGTAATCTGCTTTCCCCCCACAAGATGGCCCAAATCTCATGTGAAGTCTCTGACTTTTGTGTTGGCGCCTCCTGGTGGACTATGTGTAAAATGCCAGAATTCATATGATGCTGCTTCAGCTGATATATACAGTATTTGTTGTCAAAATACCTTTTAGTACATATGTTGTTAAAATAAAATGAACAGTCATTCTACAGATCAACAGATCATTTTGCTGATATGTATAAAGACTGCAAAGGCTGAAATATCTTGAAGTCTGTATGAAATTGGAGGTAGTTTGAGGATTAAATTTTTTATGCTTTTTAAGCTCAAAAAAAGGGGGGGGGGTCGTATTATACATGAGATTGTATTATACACAAATAAATACGGTAGGTACATTAAGATTATTTGCACATGTTCAGTGTTTTTGTTGCTCCTTACACGAACACCGCTGCAGTTCTCCTCCTGAACTGTTGGTGTCACTAATGAGAAAACAATACAGCTAAGCAGCAGGAAGTGAAGCCAAGAAAACTGTCTGCTGTAAGAAACGAAATGAGGACATTAATTTTTCCTACACAAATGTAACTACACTCAAATGTTTCTGTCATTTGTTTTATAATTACCACCTGTGTGTAAAAGTGAAACTTTTAATTATTAAACAAGTTGACTTTTGTTGATATAGTCAAACTGAGGTAGTCAAAAAGCTCCTTGGTGGCAGGGCACCAGGGATGGATGAGACTCACCCTGAGATGCTGAAGGCTCTGGATGTTTTGTGGCTGTCATGGCTGACACATCTCTTCATTATCATGGAGGACTGGGACAACTCCTGTGGAGTGACAGACAGTGGTGGTGGGTCCTATTTTTAAAAAGAGGAACTGTATAGTGTGTTCTAACTATTGTAGGATCACACTTCTTTGAAAGTTTACTCCATTGGATTTACTGATATGTCTTTGTTCCAACCCTCACCTGTGGTCATGAGGTGTGGATCATGACTGGAAGAACGAGATCCCGGATAGAAGCAGCTGAAATGAGCTTCCTTCGTAGGGTGGCTGGGCTCAGAGTTAGAGATAGGGTGAGGAGCTCCATCATCTGGAGGAAGCTCAGAGTAGAGCCGCTGCTCCTCCACATCGAAAGGAGTATGTTGAGGTGGTTCATCTGATTAGGATGCTTCCCTTTAGAGGTGTTCCAGGCACGTCCCACTGATAGGAGGCCCCGGGGAAGACCCAGGACTCACTGGGGGTTTATGTATCCTCTCTGGTCTGGGAACTCCTCAGGGTTCCCCAGGACGAACTGAAAAGTGTCGTTGGGTAGAGAGATGTCTGGGTTTCTCTCCTGGACCTGTTGCCTCTGTGACCTGACTACGGATAAACGAAAGAAGATGGATGGATGGCTTTTGTTGGTACAGGGATGTAACAGACAGATGCATCTAGATTAATCCAAACACTGCATCAGTAGAGCAGCTGTCTGCTGATGTACTCACAGTTTTATCTGCATGTTCATGAATTAATGCAAACTGGTTCATCTTCACATGAAACAAACATTTATCTACAGTAAAACTAGCCAAATTAAAGTGGACTCTATAGTCTCTACTGGCTGATGGTCCGTATATTAGACATACTGTCAGTTTGTTACTGAAGCTATAAATTATGTGTCCACAGGAGGAGCAGCAGAAAACCAAGAAGAAAAAGAAAAGCACCAAAAAGAAAGCAATAGTAGCTGAGGAGCCATCAAAAACCTCTCAGGACAGTAGCTCGCCGGATCATAATGTGGACTCACAAGATGGCAGCCTGACAGACAGTGAGGTCAACACAGGAACTGTTAAGTTCCCAGGAGGGCCGCAGCCCATGGCGCCGGGGATCTTCCTCAGCCAGAAGCGGCCGTCCATGTCCTCTTCCAACAACAGCACCAACTCCTCCAGCACTAACAACAGCAGCACGGCCAAGGGGGACCGCCTGGGGTCCACAGATTCCAAAGGTGAGCACCAAATCATGGATTAACTCCATGTCTTGATCAGTGCAGACATACACACACCCACAGGGCGGGGCTTTGATTATGTCACATGGTATGGTCCAGCATGCAACATGGATGGCTCATAACAAGTTTGGTGTATTTTAACCTTGCTATGTGAAAGTTACAGCTGTCTGAAAGCTAGTACAGCTGTCTGCCTCGGCGCTGGGGGACAAAAAGTGATAAATATTGTGAACTTATACAGTATAACTTCAATACCAATAAATATAATAAAAAATGTCAGAAAAACTACCAAGAACACCTTCAAATCTGATGTCATTTAAGATATATTTGATTAATATTATGACTATTCAGAAAAGAGATTTGACCAGTCATAATTTAACTGTTGATATCTTGTATATGCTTCAGATTATCAGTAATTTATTGCAGATATCTTCAGTTAGAGCCTCTACACAACAAAATGATAAATTTGATATCATTTATACTCGTCAGAATGTAATTACAGGTATTATTGGAATTTAAATAAAAATAAATAAGTATTCTGCCTATTCAAAATACAGTTACAGACATCCCAATTAACTCTCTTATTCAGACAAGCTTTTAGTTAAGCTTTGATTAGTGTTATTTAATTTGTTCTTCTTAGGCTATTTATGCACCGTTTTATTGTTTTTGTTATTTTGCTCTCTGTTAAGCACTTTGCGATGTTTGTGTCTGTGAAAGGTGCTATAGAAATAAAGTTTACTTACTTACTAATAGTCGTAAGATATCTGGAATATAAGTGTGGTGAAGCTGAATTTATGTCACAACGGCCTGCCGTACCCGTCTGTGTTAGCAGTGTTGGCTTCACTTCAACAGCTGCTGACGAGGAATGTGGTGTACCCCAGGGTTGTGTTTTAGGACCTATTCTGTTTATTTTTTTTATTCTCCCCCACTTTTTAAAAAGTCATATTACAGTTACTGAAACATTTCTATCCTGATATACATTATATATGGATATGGAATCATTGTCCAGCATTATTATTGATCTCACTCAATCTGTCACGCGTTGCTGTAAATAAGAACCTCACCTGTTCTTCTGTCATTTCTTCATCTTTTCACAGCCAAGAGGCTAAAGAAAGGCATGGCAACAGCTAAACAGAGACTCGGCAAGATCTTAAAGATCCATCGAAATGGGAAGTTGCTCCTGTAGCCTGCCGCAGACTGGAGGGACAGGGACTTCTGGACCTGGGTCTCACCGCCATCAGTGGGGAGGGTCAGAGACGCAAACCGAAACTGATACGAACTGAACAGGAAAATCATGCATTTTTCGATTTTCAAGAACATCACTTAAATAGGTTTTTGCCTCTACTTAGACTTTATAACTTTCAGATATAAAAATGTACAGAAGCTATTATAAATATTTTTTAAGAGAACATGTTTCATTTTACTACAGCTGTCATTTTATCAGGGGTTGATTAAAAAAAGAAATAGAAGTACATTGCAGTCATTCCAAGTTTTGTGAAAGTATCCCTTGCATGTATTGTGTTCAGTTGCATGTGTGCTTGGGTCATTGCTGGGTGTGGGAGGGATGGGGGAGTGTTTCTTTACACTGGGCTGTAGCTGTTGGACACGAGTTGGTGGTCTTCAGAATGTCCCATAACATTTGTAGGGACTCTCCATTTTCTCACGAGTCATAGAGTCAGCAGAAACAAATCTGACCTTTTGATGTTTGAACTTTTAAAGCTCTTTATGGTCAGCACGATAACTGCAAACCTGTGTCTGTCACTCCCTGACAGCTATGTCAATGAGAGGCAGACAGGAACAGACTACAAAATAATATTCCTGTAGTAAATACTGAATAGACTGTACTTGTACAGCACCTTTCTATCCACCCACAATACTCAAAACACTTTACAATATGTACCCTCATTTACCCATCTACACACATCTACACTAGGGATGGGTACCGAGTTTGATACTTATTTAAGTACCGACCGAATTCTGTCGGTACTACCGAGAACCTGTTCACATAACATCAAACGGTACCATGTTTCGGTACCTAAACGCATCATTGCGACCGTATTGGCATAAGAGTGGTGAGTTTTCCATGCCTGTCCTGAACGCAGCATCATGCAAGAGCGTAATGACGTCAGCAGCTGCTGGTTCAGTAAACARAGTTCGGTCTGAACGTAGCTTGAAAGCCTCGTAGCTCCGGGAGTGAAACTCACCGAACAGACCGCCTCTGAATTATCTGGTGGATTAATTATCTTGTGAGCACGATGTTCGCTTGCTCAAAGTAAATAAAGTACCACCACTTTCTTTATTTCATCCACCATTAAACAGAGACCGGCAGAGGAAAACAACAGAGGCACTTCCCGACAGTCCGAACGCGTCTGACCTGAAAGACCACAAGCAGCTAACTTGAAGCGTTGGATGTGTTTTGAATGCTCAAAATGTAGCTTGAATACCTTTTATTTATTTTAACTCCATCCTCTTTTGCTTATTTGATTTAAACTTAATTGCCTTCCATTGACCTCCATCACACAATTTTTCTAGCGGGGAAATGACATCAATAGAAAGACGTGGAGCTGGATTTTAATTTGTGCAATAAGACAAAACACTACGTTAGTTGTTTTCAAGAGTTTTCACTTTGAAGTAATTAGTTTAAAAAACTGATGTTACAAAGAGTTGGATGTTGTCTTGATATTTGTTAAATATCCCCACCGTAAACAGTGTTGGTGGTGAACCGCTTTCCCCCCCCGAGACGCCGGATGGTGGACCAGAATCGCGTCGCAGCCATATGGAAGCCTTTTTCCATGGCCTATCCGAACTCCTCCCACGTCTGAGTTTTTGCCTCAGCGAACACCCGAGCTGCAATCCGCTTGGACTGCCGATACCTATCGGCTGCTTGCGGAGTCCCACAAGCCATAAAGACCTGATAGGACTCATTCTTCAGCCTGACAGCATCCCTCACCACCGGTCTCCACCAGCAGGTTCGAGGGTTGCCGCCATGACAAGTACTGACAACCATACGGCCACAGCTCAGTTAAGCTGCCTCGACAATGGAGGCACGGAACATGGCCCACTCGAACTCAATGTCCCCCACCTCCCCCGGAACGTGTTCGAAGTTTCCCCGGAGGTATGAGTTGAAGCTCCGTCTGACGGGAGACTCTGACAGATGTTCCCAGCAGACCCTCACTATATGTTTGGGTCTGCAAGGTCTGACCGGCATCCTCCCCCACCACCGGAGCCAACTCACCACCAGGTAGTGGTCAGTTGACAGCTCCGCCCCTCTCTTCACCTGAGTTTCCAGAACATGCGGCCACAGATCAGATAAGACAACAACAAAGTCAATCATCAAACTGCGACCTAGGGTGTCCTGGTGCCAAGAGTACATATGGACACCCTTATGTTTGAATATGGTGTTTGTTATGAACAATCCATGATGAGAACAGAAGTCCAATAACAAAACACCGCTCGAGTTCAGATCGGGGGCCGTTCCTCCAAAACACGCCTCTCCAGGTCTCACTGTCATTACCCACGTGAGTGTTGAAGTCCCCCAGCAGAACGAGGGAGTCCCCATTAGGAGTCCAACTATATCTAGTCCGAACTGTTCAACCTCACACCCCAGCTCAGACTCCTTGCCGACCAGAGAGGTAACATTCCACGTCCCTAGAGCCAGCTTCTGTAGCCGAGGATTGGACCACCAAGGTCCTCACCTTTGACCACTGCCCAACACACAATGCACCGGACCCCTACAGCCCCTCCCACAGGTGGTGAGTCCATGGGAAGTGGGACCCACGTCTCCATTTTGGGCTGTGCCCGACCGGGCTCCATGGGCGAATGCCCGGCCACCAGGCGCTCGCCATCGTGCCCCACCTCCAGGCCTGGCTCCAGAGTGGGGCCCCGGTGACCTGCGTTCTGGTGAGGGAACTCTGAATCCATCGTTGTGACTCGCCATGAGGGGTCTTTAGGCTGCACATTGCCTGATCCCTCACCCTGGACCTGTTTGACTTGGGTGACCCGACAACACAGCTCCTAGGATCATTGGGACACTCAAGGGGCAGCTGTGGCAGAGTGGTTAGGGGAGTCGTTCTGGAACTGGAAGGTCGCCGGTCCGATCCCCCATCCAGCTGTCTCAGTTGTTGTGTCCTTGGGCAAGATACTTCACCCCTAATGCCTCTGATGTGTGTCTCATCAGTGTATGAATGTGATTGGTACTGATTAGTCTCCATAGATGATTGTTAATGTTAGCTTTGTAGAGACCTAATAGAGTGTTGTGTGAATGGATAAATGAGGACACAGATTGTAGTGTGAAGCACCTTGAGTGTCCTGGATGGATAGAAAAGCGCTATATAAGTACAGTCCATTTACCATTTCAAACCTCTCCACCACGATAAGGTGGCAGCCCAGGAAGAGCTCCTTCACTTCCATTTTTGAAAATAATAATTTGAGCTAAAATACAACTAAGTCTTGACCTTGCACTCAGTGTGTTCAGGTGGGATTTGAGAGAAATCTGATTGCTTTAACACTGACAGACACTGGGTAGAAGACAAGCATACCTGTCATGAAGGGAGTTGTGGAAATAAGAGTTCGTTTCTGTCATATCATCACCTGTCAGCTGAAGATCCTGTGGAAAAATCTGTCAAATTAATCTAACCTAAAATATAAATGTGTAAAAACCATTAGATATATTAAACAAGTTCTGATATTACAGATATATAAACAGATAAACAGATATTACAAGTTCAGTCTCAAAATGTCCGACTTCCTAAAACATAATTGATGCTTCCACTGTGAGCTGTAGAGCTTCAAAGAGAGCTGAGTTTTCTAATGTTTCATCAAAATCCTAGCCTGGTCCTTGCCTTCATACACAGTTCTGCTCAATTCAATTCATTCAATTCAGTTATGGTGACAAGACTTCCAAATTAAATTTGTCTCTCAAAGCCTGCAGCATCATTTACAGCCATCTTGTTTGATTTAATACTTCTCTCCTCTCAGTAGTGGATGGTTGTTTACAGTGCACGCAATCCATGTTAGCTTCTTAGCTTAGCCTCTTTCACAGTCGAGCTGGTGCTCTACATATTGTATATCACAGCCAAATGTTAGTGATTGGGTAAATAAGATCCAATTGTTTTAAACTTCAACAGAGGCCATGTCTCCAGCAAGAAATCATTTCTCAATAGTCGAGGGTCCAGACCCTCTATATGAAGCATAGAACAAGGGGCTGGTTTTTACCAGGCTAACAGAGTCCCATTGATCTCCATTTGTTTCTTGATAGTTTTTTGCAGATCTTGTCTACATTGTACGACCTGCTGCAATCAAACATCTTCCTGAGCTGCATGTTTTGGCGTATAATTTGCACGTTTTATTTTAAAGCTGTGATAGATTTTTTACCAGGACAGTAATAAAGGTGTTTTAGTGTTTATGCACGGACATACTGTATCTTTACAATTACTAAAAAGGCACCTAAATCTGCATATCTTCATTTGAAAAGTGCACTCCAGCAGTTTAAATATCGATAGGCAGCTGTCATGGTGGGTACATGTGAAGGCGGTAAAATAATGCGCATGTTCTACACCGCTCTAGTCACAAATACTCAGAACTTGAATTTCAAGTCACCAACTTGTGTCCATCAGTTGCAGTGCAGAGTTACTGGTTTTACTTCTGGATGCAGCTTATCATGCCACACTGAGATGAAATAGAAAAGAAAAACACCTTCCTCTCCTTCCAAACCAAAGTTCTCAAAGCATCATCTTGATTGGCCTCCATCAACCTGAGCATTTCTTTATGTTAGCATTTCCTGTCTGCAGACCGCTGTGAGCGCAGGTGTTGGTTTTTCTGAGTCATTAATAGGAAATAAAGAAGCACTGCAAAGCACAAAGTTTAAACATAGGACAACACATCCTGGCACAGTGGTCAGAGGGTCTGGGACACTACAGAGGACATGTAGCTGATAAGCTTCATCTGGGTAGGTCTGCGGTTCCACAGGGATACTTTCCAGCTTCTCTTGCTTTCCCAGGCAGCACCAACACCTGGACTCATCCTGGGTTTGTACTCTGTATAGAATGTAGCTTTTAACTTGCAAATCTTTTTCTTTAAGGCTTAATCCTACATTTTTTTACACATTTTGCTATATCTACGTCATTTTATGTTGAGACTATTTCTCTCTATACGTTTGCATTTATGGTATAGTCCTAATTTTAAACCTTTAATTATGTAACTCATTTGAAAAGGTGCTGCCTGGAAAACAACTGAAGAACTCACATGTTTTTGGCCTTATGTACACAAAGCTAACTGTATTGTGATTTAGTTTGAATAAGAGAAGAAGCTTTGAGGGAAAAACTATAAAAAAAAAACAGAATTTCTATGACCAGCCACTTGTTTAACTTTCAGTATCCTGAAGGCTTTCAGATTATTTTACTAGCACCTTGTGA